TGCGACTCGCTGACAGCCAGAGTAAGCTGCTGTAGAGAGATTTGCGCAGTTCGGTTTTCGAAATCAATTGCAAAACGTTCTGAAAACAGCGGAACGGATTTTCACTTTTAAAATTTACCGTTTCCTCCTGTCTACCACTTTTTTCAGTTTTTCATGTATTTTTGCATATGTGCAGATGAAAGAATTGCATCCAGGGCTACAGCACTGTGAGACCTCACCTTTGCAAACATCCTGATTTGCAGTTTACGTGATGGGCTCCTTTTGCAGGCATCCCGGTTTGCAGATCACTCTTTGTTCACCCGATGAGCGCTTCATATCAGAAGGGCGGCGTCAAATTACCGGTTTTGATCATTTCACGTGGACAATTTCGAACAAAAGTCTTGATGAGGTGACTTTTTTGTGCAGTGAAATTGGTTGTATTGACTTTGCTTGCTATACGTTTTTGCATATTTATGCAAATGCAAAAACGCATATTATGACGGCTCGTCTGTGTGTGTGTGTGTTCGGGAATTTCAGTTTGACAATTAGGCAAGTTTTAGTGCTGGAATTTCACCAGCAGTTTTCCTGGCCAAGTGCTATGTCAGGAACATGGTTTCAACTTTCACGCACGTTTGGATGTCACGTGCCGACACGTAGAAGTTTCGATGAAGAAATTGTTGACTGGGAAGCCAGAAAAGCTGGAAAGCTGAAATTTCGAAGGGATGTCCCTTTATTCGCGCACGCTCCAAAGACTTCAATTTTAGTTCCTAATTAAGCTTGCTTCTTATCTATAGGCACACGAAAATTTTTTATGGTTTCATAATCCTTCTCGCCCTACATTCTGCTCATTAGTTGTTATTGGTCACAGACTGGTGCCAGTCTGTGACCGATAACAGTTAATTTTCAATATACTTCCAATAACAACTATTTTTCATTCCCCTTCATGCAGGATTTACGGTAATCATGTATGCTGGCGATTAAAGTTTCACACGGCTTCATACTGTAACATTGCCGCACCAGCCGACTTCCTTTTCCTTTGCATGTCAGAAAAGACCGCAACATTTCCAGCAGTTAAACTCCCTAGAGTCTTTTGCGAACTGAATATCTCTTCCTCTTCGCCATTATGGCTTCATCTTTACGTGTCTTATACTGTAACAGTTGCAGCAAACGCATATTGTCGAGACCCTGTCTGTGTATGTGTGTGTTCCAAGTGCATTTTATCCGGTATTTTCAAATCGGGAACCAGAGAAGCTAGGAAGCTAAAATTTTAGTAGGATGTGACTCCGTGAAAGTTTTGGCGAAGAAATTATTGTTTGGGGAACCGCGGGATTTAAAATTTATTAGAGTATCTCACGTTTACATATAGCCTCTTAAATTTAAATTTAGTCTTTACGTGCTCCTGTGTACCACGTGTGGCCCCGCGAAAATTTTGGCGGGGAAATTATTACCCCTGTAACCAAGAAAGCCAGGGGGCTGAAATTTTAGGGTAATGCCTCCTGCCCACATATAACCTCAGCGAATTCGAATTGAGTTTGGGTCCCACGCACGGCTCCGTGGAAGTTTTGGCAGGAGAAATTATTACTCGGGAGCGCGAAGAGTTGAGAGGAGGATGTTCTCTGCTTATGAAGGGGCCTAACAAAATCAAACTCTGCTCTCGAGTATGGAGAGGTCTCACATACTACTGGTGAAACCTTTGACTGGAAAGTTACTCGGAAGCCAGAGAACTGGGAAGTTGAAATTTCGAAACAGTAGGGATTACTCAGCAATTTCCTCAACAGAAATGCTTTGATATTGCTTTAGCTGTTTCAAGATGCCATTAGTTTGTGTTGAGCATTGGCGTCTTCTGAAACATTGTTATTCGTAGATCGTGATAAGATATTTGCCTCTTATGCTGCTGGGCTGTAATTTGTGTCTTATGTGTTTTATTTAGCATTTGATAAAATTACATTGGAATGCAAGGATTTTGGCCTGGCACGTTAGGACGTGCGAATACGCTGCGGTCAATTGTTCTTGAAGCGACATCCCAGTATTTCAGATAACTGCTGTAAATTGTGAAAAGAACTTAGTGTATATGAGTCCAGATTCACAGCTGGATGCCTTAATGGATGTTGTTGCTAATAAAGTGTACATTATCGGAGGCCTTGTGGATGAAACTGGTGTTGGCTCACTGTCACGACACCAAGCCGGTTTGTTGATTTTCCAACATTTTGAGGCAAAAATTGGTTCTCACCAGTGGGGAGGGAGAGGCAAAAAGAAACCACTGTGACCTGAAAAATTAGGCCCTCGGCAGGTAAGGATTGCGATTTACTGAAAAATTTTTACATTATCGTGCGGTGCTAGAAAAAGGACCTTTTTTGATTTCGTGATGCAGTTTACGGACTTGTGGAATGAGAGGTCCGGAAAGTCTGGCATTTTCAGGAATACTTCGAATGCTTACTGTTTATTGGTTAATTTTTTTTTTTTGTTTGCATTAAAATTACTTTGAGCAGCTAGAATTGAAGCTCAAGAATCAGGGTACCGAGCATCGAGAGCTGCCGTTACATGGAGTAATTAGCGAGATAAAACTACTCAAATTCTGATGGAGGTTTGCTAAAAATTGAGCGTGGTCAAAAAAGAGCGGTACTATTTGAAACGAGAGGTTTTTATGCGTTTTGTGCTGTGTAACAGCAGTACAAAACGCATATTGTCACGGGGTTGTCTGTATGTGTGTTCGCAGCAACTTGTCCGCAGCTTTCAACTCGGGAACCACAAAAGCTAGGAAGCTGAAAATTTAGGGTAACGTTCCTCACCCATGTGCGACGCCGCAAACATAAATGCAGCCTCCCCGTACCCGCGGGTAGCACGTAAGGCCCCGTAAAAGTTTGAGCGGGTAAAATTATTATCACGGGAACCACGGAAGCTAGAAG